AGGCCCTACTGGTTGTTGATATTAGAAGAAAAGAGCAGCATATGATCCTGTGGCAGTTTCTTTCTTGCATCAACTCTCAAAGAAAGAAGATCCATTTGAATCCAAGGATGCATCACCCATCATCCGTATTGCCTAATGCTCGATCACAATTAATACATATTTTTTTTGATATGTCATCATCGATCTGAATTATTGAGGTTCAGAGTAGTGGGGGCTGGGAATATCCTCATGAGCCAGCAATGGCCCTCACGCATCACAAAATTATAAATTGAATTTGAATCTGTCCCAAACAAAATTATTGATATATAAATTGAAGAATATTATTGTTTATTGCATGCTTATCCGATACTACTAGTCTATGAGATTGTCTTCTTGGTTCATAATTGTCAACAGATGTTATCATCTTTGTTGAGGAATTATAGTGATTTCACCCATGTAGTTTGGTATTCATCGTAATTTAAGAATGCATAAAATAGATCTAAGAGAAAAATCCGACAAATTATAGAGACAAAAGCGACTTTTTTCTCTAAAACTTATCATATCTTATTAATCCTTGGGGCTACCATATGCATAGACAGAACATGTTGTATGATGTGATGTAATGCTGAGTGTGGTTTCGTTGTCATTGATGTGAACCAAAGAGAGCTAAAAGGAATAATTTCAAAGGCAATTAATTGCCTAAAATGCGAGACTTTGACATCAGAATACGAATGGCAAAGATGGAGCTGCTGTGAATTTTCTACTTTCGTTTTTCACGTTTTCGCAACATGCCAAAAGAGAAGGAGTCATCAGAAATTTATTCATCATATGGTGTTGATCAACATTCATCAGCAACAAAGTTACGCGGCAAATCGGTCCAAGGGTATATTATGTTGTCCCCTTTTTTCAGTGTCGTATTTCAAGGAGGAGCCAGAAGAGAAGACGTTCCTACGTTTCTCTTAGGTATTGCAAAAGGCAAAGCCGTGTTACATATCCTCGTCTGTTTTTTTCCTTGCAAGCTTGGTTTGGCGTGTTTGAAGTTTTCCCCTACAAGTTTTGAAGGGTGGCTCGAAGCAACTTTTCTTATATATTAATATTATATGGATTGATTGCACGTTTTAAATTGGCTCGTTTTGCGATGAGTTTTTTCACCTTTTGAAAAGCTACCAGTTACTGCGGCATATGCAAATGCAATGATTGACAGTATCTGTGAAGTCTGCTAATTATTTTATGACATTTTGGGGGTCCTTTTTGGTTTCAAATGTATTAATTACCGCAGTTAAATTAAAGCAGCACAAGTAAATGATTAACATAATATAATCCCCTTGGGGCCAATTTAATTCTGTGTCCATTGTCTGTGCCTAGACTTTACCAATATAAAAATGAGGGTTTTGTTTATTGAACATTTGTGATGTTAATAGCTCAACTGACATGCAATAATTGAAAGAGATTAGTGGCATTTGCATGCCATTTTCTTCAAACACCTAAATTATTAGGTGGTGAGTGGGGCCTGTGTGAGTATTATTAGACACGTGTTTAATAGGGAGGGAGGATTAGATTGGACCAGCTTGAATCAGTAGAATGTTTTGATTTCGCGTGCAATCAGGGAAGAATGTGTGTGTTCTCTTCTAATTTGGAGGATTAAGGTGGATTATTCATATGAAATTGATGTCTAAACCTTATCCCTACTAATCCTGTTGAAAATGGTGGAATTAGTAAGGATAAATTTTGGGCATGAAATAGTCCATCACAATCCTCAAGTTAGAAAACAACACCCATACTATTCCTTGATTGCACATGAAATCTAAGTATTTTACTAATCCAAACTAGTCTCCTTATCAAACATAATCTTAATGCAGGACTATTTATCAACAGTCCCCTTCTTCATATGAATATTCCTTTTAGGTGGTCAATGGTCATACACATGACATGCAAAATTAGGCTATTTTTAGAGTGACCATAAAAAAATTCTTATACTTGGTCTATATTAAGATGGTCTAACACTACAAATGGTGGCTCTAATATCACAATTTGAAGTGTTCTTGCTTAAAAGCTTCAACTGTTAGGCTGAGCAGCAGCCAATGTAGAACTGCATAATGCTCAGCACATGAAGCCAATTCAACTCTGTTATTGTTTCTTCTTTTATTTTAATCTTTTATAGTTGTCAAGGCTTCAAGTTGTGATTTGTTTGCAAGAATTTTGACTATGCTATATTTAGTGCTTCAAATATATATATTTTAAATCCCAAAAGAAAAACTGCATTAAGCTATTTGAAGAAGAAGTTAAGTTAGATCTCAGATTTGGAGTGGTGGGCTGATGCCATTAATAAACAGAGACATTGACAAATTGAAATGGCAAAGACGTTGCAGCTTCTGTGTAATAAAAAAAAGGGCAACTATACCAAAAAGAGTGATTACTTGCAATCCAAACTTATCCAATCCCAGGCCCAACTAGCAATCCCAATTTAATTTTGTTGGGTTTTGGGTTGTGAAAATTTCCAAACATGATCATTTTGGATTGGGTTTGAAACAAGCACAAATACATGCTCCCCAAAATGAGAAATTATTGATGGTAAGTTGTCTGCAATGTCTTGATTAGTCGTCCGTCCTGCACCCACCCTAAGAGTATATGCTTCAACAGGAATCACACAAGGGTAAATTGATACAATAGAAACCTCTGGTAAAATGCTCACCTGTAATCCAATAGATAAAGTACCAGAAGCACAAGTAGGAAGTAGCTCCCTTAAGTTTGAACTGACTCACGCTCATGCATATACATGAACCAAATGTTTGAGAAACTTTGTTTTTTCCATGCCAGCAGGCTGATTGGGGTCATTGATCTGATCGATACCCAATTTTTTTTAGGAAGAAGAAATTTGATGCCCTTATTGAAGCAAAGTCTTTATCAGACTTGATTTGTTTTGGACTGCTATCAGCAACAACTATGGGTCTAATTGAAAATTAACTTATTCAGTGTCTACATTACATCAATCAAATACAGCTGGCCCCTTGCAAATGGCCAACACTTGGCAATGTCTTTTTCTGTCGATGGCTTCAGAGCTGATATTGGGGGGCGGCCTAACAATTGGCTTGACGTGCAGCCCACAAGCCACAGGCCAATATGGATACGCGGCTACTTGTCACTTCATCCGATGATAAGATGTCATCATTTGCAGAGTACTGAGTGCTCTTCACAAACACCACTGCTTCCTCGGTTTTCTTCACTCCTTATTCCTTCAGCATCTTCGTCCAATCTTGAAGATGCTTCACGTACTTCACAAGTCAATCTGCAAACCTCTGAACTTTAAAAATTCACAAATACCTTAAACACCAAAAAACACTAAAATTCACAACACAATCAGAGAAAGCAAAAGAGAAAGCTTTTCTCGATTATAAAATAGAATATGAAGATCAACTACGAACATAAATAACTCAACAACCCAAGAATGTTATCGCATATCCAAAGGACTGAAGCCTTGATCTATAGTGAGGAGTAACTATGGAAAAAAAAACGTCCATCAGTTCTGTAAAATAACAAAACATGAAACTTAAAATTGATGATGTGGCATATGTTAAGTGGTTAGATTATTTAAGTAGCTTAGATTTCACGAAATGCAGGTAAATACACGGATCTTAAATGTAGAGGCTTAAGCTAGATAGCCCATAACCATAAGACAAAATGCTCACCACCACAACAACACATACGATTTTATTTGATTTAGGTGATAATGAGGGTTTATGACGAGGAGGTTGATAATAGTTATTCGATCAATGAAAATGTTTAAATTTAATGATTTCTTTATATTATTGGACGGCAGGATTGAACTCCTCAATGTAGCCTTCTTGTTATAGAAGCTCTCTCGTAATTTTATACTTCAATCTGAAGCTCGTCTAGCTAGTTTTCATGGCGTGTCCTTCAATCATGAAAGTGGTTGGGAACCAACCATAAATTATACCTTATTAAGTAACCTAATCATGCATTACTTTATTAACTAATTGATAATCTTATAGCATATGAGTCTCTGGAAACAGAGTACGTAGTGTGTAAATGCATCTCTGAAAAAGATGAAGTCCAACCAAGGTCCCATTATACGCACATTTGGCCCCTAAATGTGTTTGCGCGTGTTCTGGTTTGACCTCTACATGTTAAGCTGCTGGCAGCTCCCTATTGGCAGTTCCAAATAAAAAAAGAAACATGATTTCGACTGGAGGCTTTGGTTTTGGGAATAATTTTTTCACCTTTTGGGTGATAACGACAAGAACTTCAAATTTCGGTGCACCATTACATCAAAATAAAGAAAGAAAGAAATAAATCTATATAGTACGAAAATATACAGATGTCACCATCTGCAGCTGCTAGCTATCTTGAGCTGTTCTTGCACTATCAAATTCTGGAAAAAGAACCTTAAAAGTAAAAGTGGAAAATAATGGGTGAGAAATTATAGAAAAAGCAATAAATTCAAGCAAGCAATCAATTCATTTAATATATCTTATTTTCCTATTTTTGGTGGGACAAACATGATAAGGGTCAGGACTCAGATATGAAGTAATCATCCACTGTGCTGTTGTGTGTTCTTAAGCAACCCAACGCATATGACGTTTGGGACAAGGAAAAGGCTGTGCCAAGCCAACCGATTTATCTTCATAAATAACAAACAGTGGGCAAAATGAAATGATGCCATTATTATTATTCTTCTTTATTCTGGTTTTTGATTGGCGGAGGGCATGTGGGTGACGATGAAAGCCAACTCCACTAACAACTCTCCACCTACCATGTAGCCCTCTAAGTGCTTACCACTTCATCTTTCTTTTATTTCATCTCTCTTAACTAATATCAAAATTTATAATAAAATTTAGGGTGGAAAGGGACCTATTCAGCTGCCGGCGTCAGTTCAAACAAAACCATCTGATCAATTGGGTTTGGTTTGCGTGGACTCAATCCAACGCCTCTTGTTGCTTTGATTACATCTTTTAACCGAGATCGACATACAACTACTCGAACTTGTATGCAAGAGAACCGACTCACAATCCTAATGAGTTGACATAATCACCCTAGGTCTTTTTTTATCACATCTTTGTTGTTGATAATTATAATATAGTCTCAACAGTGGAAAGGTCTGCCTGCCTGCCCAACTCCATGCTATTGCTTTCCTTATCGCTTTCCTTCCAATACAAAACCATGCCACCAAAACAGAGTCAAAAACCATTTCCATGACCCAAACCCTCTCCTTCTTTCTTTCCTCCTTCCCTTCCCAATGAATTTCTTTTGCATATAAAAATACAAAAATAACTCAATTTCCCTTTTGCCTTCTTCAAACCATCAAAAGCAAACCAAAATTCCATTTTCTTGCCAATTCCATTCTTTCATATACATTTTTTTTCCTTTTCATATTTGCTTCATTGCTAATTATGGCCATATCTCCACAAGCATTCCCGCCCAGAAAACGCCGGCCTTCTGCGGGGGCGTTCATGTCGCCGAAGCTCTCCGATCAGAGCCTCCTCCGCTCTCTCCTCTCCATCTGCCAAGAAATCTCCTCCCTCGAGCCTCTCCGCTTCCTTCTCCGACGAACCTCCCTCTCCATGATCCGCAAGACCAATCTTCTCTCCATGCTCTTCGAAGACCTCGTCCGAAACTCCACCGCCGCCTTCTCTCCCTCCGCCCTGCTCTGCTTCCAGGAGCTCTACATCCTGCTGCAGAGGATCCAAACTCTGATCGAAGACTCATCCCACGGGAGCAAGATGTGGCTTCTCATCCAGACCGAGTCCCTCGCCAACTGCTTCCACGAGTTCACCCTCGACCTCTCCACCTTGCTCGATATTCTCCCCATCAAGGAGCTCCGATTAAACGACGACGTAGAGGAGGTCGTTTCTCTGCTCCGAAACCAGTGCTCGCGGAGCACGACGAAATCGTTCGTGGATCCCCTAGACGACGATCTCAGGCGCGAGGTCTGCACCATGCTCGATCGCCTCAAGAGCGAGATCGTCCCCGACCATTCCAGGCTCTCCAAAATTTTCATCCGATTAGGGATCGACAGCTCTGCGAGCTGCACAGAGGAGTTCGAGAGTCTTCAAGACGAGTTTCAGAACCAAACAGAGGAGAAATCCAAATCGCAGCTCATCGCTCTCGTCGGGCTCGTCCGCTACGCCAAGTGCGTTCTTTTCGGAGCCTCCACTCCCGGATCCGATTTGATCCGAAGAAAATCATCATCGGAGCTGGGTTTCCCGGTAGATTTCCGGTGCCCGATCAGTTTGGAGCTAATGCGGGACCCAGTCGCCGTGGCAACAGGTCAGACATACGATCGAGAGTCGATAAAGCTATGGATCGAGTCAGGTCACAACACGTGTCCCAAAACAGGTCAAACCCTGGCCCACACTGACCTCATCCCTAACCGCGCATTGAAAAATCTTATCGCCATGTGGTGCCGGGAGCAAAGAATCCCTTTCGAAACCGCGGAGCATAATAAGGGACTGGTCAACGCCGTCAAAAAGAACAAGGCGGCTCTCGAAGCCACCAGAATGACGGCGTCGTTTTTGGTTAATAAGCTTTCGGTTTCTCAGTCAATGGAGGCTGCAAACGGCGTCGTCTACGAGCTGCGCAGTTTGGCCAAGACAGACTCTGATTGCCGCGCCTGCATTGCCGAAGCCGGAGCTATCCCATTGCTTGTACGGTACTTAAGCTCGGACGTCGGCGGGGCCCAACCTAACCTCCAGGTAAACGCCGTGACGGCGATTCTTAACCTCTCCATTTTGGAAGCGAACAAGACCCGGATTATGGAGACGGACGGAGCTCTTAACGGCGTCATCGAGGTGCTGCGTTCGGGAGCCACGTGGGAGGCGAAGGGGAACGCGGCGGCTACGATATTCAGCTTATCGGGTGTGCACGGGTACAGGAAGAGACTGGGGAGGAAGACACGTGTCATCAAGGGGTTGTTGGAGTTGGCGAAAGAAGGGCCCGAGCATGGGTGTTTTAGAAGGGACGCGATGGTGGCCATATTGAATTTGGCAGGAGAGAGAGAGGCGGGGGGGGGGGGGGGGGGGGGGGGGGGGGGGGGGGGGTGACCGTGTTGGAAGCTGTGGTGAGAAGCGGCGGGATATTGGCAATCGCTGCGGCATACGGTGCGATTAGGAAATTGGGGTGTGTGTTGAGAGAAGGGTCGGAGAGGGCGCGGGAGAGTGCGGCGGCGACCCTTGTGACGATATGTCGAAAAGGGGGCTCGGAGATGGTGGCTGAATTGGCTTCCATGCCGGGGATTGAGAGGGTAATATGGGAATTGATGGGGGTGGGGACGGTGAGGGCAAGGCGGAAAGCGGCGTCGTTGTTGAGGATTCTGAGGAGATGGGCTGCGGGTTTGGATAGCGAGGTGGCGGATGAAGGGTATTCACAAGTTGTGAGTTCATCAATAGCAGCAACGACAACTGTTGCAGGCTAAGCTAATTAGAGTTTGGTTTTACTACAGATTTGGTTGAATGAAGTTGTAAATGTTTATAGTGATTTTCATCTTCTTTGTTTTGTTCGACGATAGATTAAAAATATCTCATTCATTCTTTATTTCTTCATCTTGATATCCATTCTTCTTCATATCACCAAAGAAATATAGCTGATCACCCATGTAACCACTAACTAACTGGTGAATCTCACAATGAACCAACTAAACTGAAAATCTACCTTCCCCTCAAATTTCAATCAATAAACTAATAAACCCAACTTATTTCAATCCGTGGACACTCACTACAAATTCGTTGCCGATTTGAGAACAGGGTCACTATCTCTCTTCTGCACTTGTTTTGCCATTCAGTCCGTCTATTAGAGGGCCGAAGTCTAAAAAACTTGTTTGGTTTTAAATTCTCACGAGCCCAATGAGCTCAAACGAGCCCAAGTCTTAGCTCGAAACTTTTGGAATTGGGCAAGTCGTCAAGCATGTCCCGTTTGCCTGATATGATATTTATGCCTTTATCGGTTCGTCACTCCATCTCCCCACCAAATCCAGCTCTGCGCTGGCTGCATTTAATTTTGGACTAAAGACTAGGCTTTCTACTAACCCATACTGGCATACTGCATGAGCCGGACAAACATTCCCATAGCAAAACCTTCTCTGAAAAAGACATACGGTAGAATCGTAACCATAGAATACGACCCTAATCTAATCTCGAAATACATAAATTCGTCCCATACATACAGACATAGTATGCTGATGGTACATCCAACTTTGAGGATAGCGTTTAACATATGACAAATGATCCCTAGAGTTCAATTCTTTGTCCTCCTCCTCCTTCCACATGCAAACAATTGTCATAAACTACTACATATCCCTTAAGCAGCACGGAAGTTTCAGTGGGTCTCCCCTCTCCCTTCTCTCCTTCTCTAGATTGAAACACACACATAGACGCTGGTGGTTTTGGTCCTCTTACTTTCAGAGCAGTCAGAAGAAGGGGACCAATTGACCAAAAACCCCATGCCATTGTGTGCCCACTGTTGGCTTGACAAACTGTCGGTCTCTCATGCAAAGACCCAAGCCAAGCCAAGAAGCAAGCTCACCGTGAACGTCCTCCGCTCTGTGCCTCTTTGGCTTTTATGTTTTTGTTTGGGCATGCGTTTCTGGTTTGTTTTGTACCATTCTTTGACTCATTTTCTTTTTCTGAATAATAACCAGTAAGTTTGTACCATTTGAGTTTGCTGTTACTTGGGTTGGGTTGAAATTCTTATTTGGGTTGGACTTGCAATTGAAGAATTTGTTTGACCCAAGAAGCCCGAGGAAGGAGACAACAAATTAAAGCACCAAACAAGAAAAGGAAGGCAAAAAAATGCGGATGGGACGCTCATAATGCTGAGTCACAAGGCAAAACCTGCACAATACAAAAGCTTTTCTCTATAGCTTTCTGTCTTTTTCTTCTTTATAAAATCTAATCTCCCTTTGATAGACAAAATATATATATATATATATATAAGTTGGAAACACACACTGGTGCTTGTGGGTGGCAATGCAATGTGTTTGCTTATGGTCTGAAGTATGGAGCTGAAATGAATGGCAAATCTGAGAGTTTCCCAAGGGCCAAAGACTTGTTGTACTGGTTATTTTTAAGGTTTTTTAGGTTTTAGACATAAAAAAATTTTCGCTTTTGGAAAAAGCCAAAGCTTTTTAAAAAAAGACAAAAAAACCACTCAACTTTCAAATCAAAGACATGCAAATGTATTGGATTCTTTAGGAAATCTACAAATAAATAAGGGCATTTTTGTCCATTTTTGCTTCTTTTAAAATTTTTCTCTTTCCTTTTGCTTTTTCCAAAATCTCCCTTATTTTTAACCTAGAAGCTGCCCTTTGTCTTTGTGGTATTTCTTTGTCATATGTGACCTAGATGCCAAGGAAATATGAAACTGGGTCCCTCTGTAGTTAGGATCCCTCTGTAGTTTAGGGCCCCAGGCGGCTGCATGTAAGCCACTTTGAGAAAACTGTGAAGACCCTGATAAGCCGTAGTACGATAAGAAAGAACCCCCCAGTCACGATAAATAAACACCCTCACCAATATGCACAGACACACAGAGGCTTTAAAACAGAGAGAATCATTTACAGGAAGTTGTTAAACAAGTAAGCAAATTAGTTATCACTGGTAACTTAATAAGAGAAGAGAACACAGTTTTCTTTATGGTTAGGTGATTAGGCGTCACAACCAGGAGGATTGCCATTTTACCACCTGGCCCCTATTGGACCCCATTTTACAATCCTTTTGTGGACCCCATCCCCCCTTACTCTCCAAATTCCAAAAGCCTCTCCCTTTATTTATCTTCAATAAGCTAACTCCAAAAAGCAGAGTGAGAGAGAATGAGTGAGTGCTAAAAAGACTTTTAAGTCACCTCTTTCTTTCTTTCTTTCTTTATTTCTGTCTTTCACATATTACTGAGAGAAACTAGAGAGAGGTGGTGATGGGTAACCACAAGTTTAGATTATCAGATATGATGCCCAATGCCTGGTTTCACAAGCTCAAAGACATGAGCAAACCCAGAAAAAACCCCAACAGCCCTCATCACTCCAAGAAGAAAAAACAACAACAGCAAAAACCAACATTTGCTTCAACTGCAAAATTTACAGAGCCATCAAAACCAAAGCAGCAGCTACCCCACCAATGTCTTCCAAGACAGTCTTACTACTTCACAAGGGAGCTTGCTAGCCCTGCCCCAGGTCACAGGTTCTGCAGCTCCTCCCCCACAAACCCAAAAGCCTCAGACACCAATTTCCCTGACCCACCACCCAAAAAACCATCCAAACAAAAACCCAAGAAGAGAATTACCAGCTTACCCTCTGATCCTCACCTTGTCTCCTCCTCTGTTTCTGCCGGCTGTGGCTGCCGCGCCACCATTGAATCCGTTTGGACTAAATCTGATTCCCCACCAGAGCTCTGGTCTTCTTCAACCCTTGACAGCTCCCCAGAGCCCGAGTCTCATGATGAAGACGATGGCGAGCTTGAGCTTCATGAGCCTGAATTCAGGTGTGACCGTGTTCTTACTACTGAGACTTTTGATGGGATGGTTTCAATGTCGAGTTCATGCGCTGCTTACCTTGCTGATTCTGAGGAAAAAGACGTCGTTATCGACGTGGATAAGGCATCTCTGAGTATGAAATTATCTGATGTGAAACTATCTGATACGGTTGATGATGGGTTGTATTCATTTTCTGAGCTTGAGCTTGCTCCAATTATAACCAAGCCACCGAAATTCAGTGAAATGGTGAGAGATGTGAAGAAGAAGAAAGAGACAAAAGAGCCAAGCAGATGCAGAAGAAGCTCAGCTAAATTTCAGGATAGAAATGCACACGGGTCTCTGTCTGTCAAGGTTGTGAAGGAAGAGAGCACAAGCACAAAAACCATCAAAGAACAGAGGACAGCTAGCTCTGTTAGAAGAGTTTCATTAAATGCTACTTCTCCAGGAGTTAGGCTTCGGATGAATTCACCAAGAATTGCTAACAGGAAAATCAACCAGGCCAATCTCAGCCGTCGGAGTGTGTCATCAAACTCGAGCTCAAAGAGGAGGAGCCTCTCTGAAAGCTTTGCAATTGTCAAGTCTTCATTTGACCCTCAGAGGGATTTCAGGGAGTCAATGGTGGAGATGATTATGGAGAACAACATCAAGGCATCAAAGGACTTGGAAGATCTTCTTGCATGTTATCTCTCTTTGAACTCAGATGAATATCACGAGCTCATCATCAAGGTCTTCAAGCAAATCTGGTTTGATCTCACTGACCTCAGGTCCAAGTAATTGCAAGTTTCCAAGAACTGAACTGTATATTATTAGTCTTTTTCTGGTTTTTAATGAACTTACTTACTACATTTTAGTGCAGTCGACTGTTAAAAGTTTCAGTCTTTGAAGATAACCAGGTTATCAAAATGCAGTCTTTAATTGCAAGTAGAAATTTAAGACAGTAAAAGTTTCAATCTTTGAAGACATAACATGAGTTTTTATCCATGTTATGCTTTTGTGTTTTATATGGAGAAACCAAGAAGGCATAAATTTTGGTTTCTGAATTTGAGCATTTCATGGACCCTCAACCAATTTGGGTATGATACACACATAAATTGATTGTTGAAGGACCCCATCTGCCATTGAACAAACACTGACAGCTTCTCTTTTTTTTTTTTTCCCAACAAAAGAAGATACACTTTAAGGACAAAATTTATGCTTTGAAGTCTTTATTTTTACCCCTCTAAATTGAGTATGGTCTCTCTGGCAGTATGTTCTTCGGCTTTCAGACCCTGCCACTCCGAATTCTGGCAAAGCCCTTTGTTCAGTAGCTTCAGAGGTGACTGAAGAGCCGTACATAATTTCAAAATAAGACCAAGTCCATAAAACACTGAAAAGCTGGGAAGTGAGAATTCAAATCCTATTGCTATAGGCCTAGACCATGCCTATAATAAAAACTGTTGCAGTGTAAATTTTCAAAAGTAAAAGTGATGACTTCGAAGATTTCAAAAGCAATGTAACCTTTTCAAACCCTTGGATTTTGGATGCAGGGCATGCAATTTATTTTATGAAAAGGGAATCATTCGGCCTACCAAAGAGGATTTGTTTGGTTTGGTTTGGTTTTTATATGCGTATATGCCAGACGAATGATTCTGATTGATTGGCTTCGTGAAAGAAAACAAAGTAATTGGTAATTGGTGAGCTTCCTTTTGTATATGAATTTTTTTGTGATTTGGGCCTGCACTCTCGTTGGTAATGACTTGTTTTCTGTGGCAGTAACAGTTCTAACCAATAAATGAAAAGAAAGCACCAAGTTTTTGTAGTGTCTTTCTGGGACATGGAGTTTCAAGCTTTACACACTTAGGGTTAGCACGAGAAAAAAGAAAAGAAAGAAAAGTAGAACATTATCTTAATCACATTTCTTAATCTTTCAACTCCCTAACTTTGCGGTTTCAATTTATTTCTGTCGGATTCTAAGAAAACTTAATTTGCTTCTTCTCCATTGACTTCCTGAATTTTGCATTAATTTGGAATGTCAATTAGTTTTACTTACAAGAAACCTTGCTTAATTATCACTAATCTCCACCTAACAAAACATGTCCACACG